GTGTCAACAACCAGCATGTAATCAAAGTCCAAGTCCTGCTGCAGCTGTTCGTCCAGTGGAAGGAGCTGCATAAACACTCCCTGGGTGCATCTCCCCGCGCTGACGTTGAACTGCAGCCCAAACAGGGCACTCAGCAGGGTTGACTTCCCTGTGCTCTGGAGGCCGAGCACGGAGAGAACAAACACTCGTTTGTCCCCCAGCCTCTCAATTAGGCTGTCAAAGATTGCTCCCACCCAGCGCAGGGGGACGTAAGAAGCATCCCCATCCATCAGCTCCACAGGATACCCCGAAACCATCAGATCTGCTGCAATTTTGGGCAGGTAGACAACATTTTCATGCTCTGAGCTCATTGATTGGAAAGCTTCATAAATCTGGCCTACCTCTCTCAAAAGGTGCTCAAGGCCAATGGAGGAATCTTTGATTTCATCAGAGAGGGCATCCAATCTATGCAGCAACTCAGATTTCGGACTGGTTTTTTCCTGGTCTTCTTTTCTCATGTGGATTTCAGACCATAACTCGTGATAGTCTCTCCTCAGTTCTTCAAGGCGACCAGAGGACAGGTCGTCCATAAAGACCTTCATCCACTGCAGGAAGTATTTCTGGGTATCTGCTGCCTGTGAATGGAGAAAGCCAAGGAATAGTTTCATCAGTTGGTTGAGGGGGAAAGCTTGCTCTAGTTGCTTTCTTCTTATTGCTGCCTTCTCGGTTTCAATTTGGCTGCGATGGTGCTCGATGCTCCTGTTCCCCTTCTCCTGCAAGCGCGTGAGTTCTTTGTCCTTTTTGCACCACTGGTGCCACAGTTTTCCTTGAAGAGGCAGGAGCTTGGACTTGATCTCAGACAGTTTCTCTTTCTTCAGAAGGGTCACCAGCTCCGTTGCCTTTGCTTTGGCTGTCGCACACTCGGGTCGATCTTCATCCACTAAGAATCCGTGCTGGCGAGCTTTGTCCAGGCAGCCGTCCAGGCTGAAACGTGGGTTGGACCCTTCCAGGAGATTCCCGATTGTTTTGCTCAGCTCCTCCAACATTTCTTCTTCGTTTCTGTTCTTGATCCCTATTGTTATGTTTTTGCTGGATTGTCCAGCTGCAGCTGTCTCTTGTTCAGTGAGAAGACAAACCAGAGGCCTTTGCGACTGCCACAGGTCACGCAGAAGTTTGCTCCCTCTGTCGTCCATGTGCTCAGACTCGGATACAAGAGCCACGTTCACAGCAGAGATCTCCTGTAAGAACTGCAGCTGTGCTCTGTGATCCCTGGCGTCTCCATGCAGGTTACAGAAAGCCACACAGTGCTCAAAGGTGTCATCCGGGCTTCCCCGGGGACAGTACCAGGCGATCTCCACAACACCTCCCATCAGCAAACACTCTCTGGTGCTGCCTCGGCAATGGCGGTGGAAAAAAGTGTTGTGTCTATGTTTGCTCAGCAGAGCACTGAGGAGGTGGGACTTGGAAGAGGAGGCAGAGGTGCCAATGCGGATGAAGGACACGATGGGTGTCTCTGCCTGACAAATGAATTTGTTATTGTAACTCTTCATTCTGGGCTGCTGTCCCGACTTCTCCACCTCCTTCCAGCTCCTTTTGATTTGGCTGAGGGCCCAGAGGGGGAACTCGATCTGGGCAGTGCCTGGCTTGGGCACCAGCAGAGGCAGTGCCAGCTGGCAGAAGGCGAGTTTGGTTGCAATGGACTGTCTCATAAAGTCATCAGCACAGTGGAAAATTGCCATCTGCAGGTCCATTGGGTGCACGTGCCCCCCCCTGGTTGCAGCTGCAGGGGATGCTCTCTTTAAACCATGGAGAAAGTTTTCAAAGGAGTCTGAGGGTTTGCGCTCTTGCTCTGTGGTTTCTGGCACGGGAGTAAGTCCTGAGTTGCTCCCATCCCTGCAAGTCAGGTACCTCACCTGATAATCCATAGTTAAGAGCTTCTGCAAGAAGTGAAATGGCAATTCCTGGTCCTTGCTGGGCTGGCTGTCATGCAGAGATGTCTTGCAGATGGTGAGGAAATCTTCTGTCCCCATTTTTCTTGGATAGTGACTTTCTAGTCCAAGGCGCTCGAGCAAGTGGAGGAACTCTTGGTTTGCATTTTGCTTTGGCTTTGCTGCCATCTTTGATGGATTTGGAGTGACTGGACGGCTCAGTTGCTTGAAAAGTGTCCTCCAGAACAATGAGTCTATATCCAGCTTCCAGTCTTTTCTGACGTTTCTTTACCGGATTCTTTACGTTTTCAAGTCCCTTTCAGGTGTCCTCCTGCGAAGCTGTGGCTGTGGAGGAGAGACATTCCCTAAGGTTTGTTGAGAGAGTCCCCAGGCTCCTCTAAGAGGCTCTGCAGCAGCTCCAGCCCTGGGGATGCTCCCACCCTTCTGCTGGAGCCCAGGGTCTCCTTTCCAGGACAATGGATGTGCCTGTTCTGGGATCAGCCCTGAAGCCGAGTGTGTATCCCAGACAAACACACACACACACAAAGTTGGCCACACAACCTACCATGGACAAGGGACCGCCTTCAACATTACCCACATCCTTTCAACAGGACTCCTAAGTCCATAAGTGCAGAGAGCCGAGGGCATTCCAGGATTCCTCAAGCACCAGCACAGCCCCTCTGCCCATCCCACACTCCTGTCTGCATCTCGCACCCTCTGCCCAGCCCCTCAGCTCTCCTGCTCGTTGACTGCTCCGCCTTGGTGCTCCCAGCACACAGAGGCAGCACCTACACACTCACCCCACAGGCAACCCCCTCCCCAGACACACTCACCCCAATCCTGGCACAGGCACACGGGTGGGACCTGTGCTCCTCCTGCTCCTCACTCCCCCCACTCGTGCCTGTTCCCCCAGGAGCTGCTCCTTGGGACACACATGGTTCCTACCCCAGGGCATGGGGAAAATCCAAGGTGTCCCTGCCCAGACTTGTGTCAGGGGCATCCTGCTGGCCTGTCAGTAGTGACTGGAGACTTGGGGAGCGAAGTCAGAGAAGTACCCCCAGAATTTTCTGCTCATTACCAGGGAGGGTCTCGGGAGGGAAGTGGCCTTTGGCGCCATCTTGGCCACAGCCACCACAAAGCCACCAAGTGTAAAATCTTTGCTGACAGAAGGAAAAACGCCAGCAAACCTTCAACTCTGAACATGAGGCGAACAGACTCCAGGCTGCTCAGGGAGAAAGTTTGGGAGGGCCCATGGGAAGAGGCTTTGGAAGGTGCTGGGCTCCATCAGTGCTGCTTACATTTTATGTACCACCTCCTCAGGGCAGGGGCAGGAAATTCCCAAATGTGGGAAGTCAAGCAGATGACGCAGGAGGTCGGCTTGGCTCAGCAGGGAAGCTTTTGGAGCTAAGGCAAAGAAAAGAAGTTGCATGTCAATAGCAAAAGGCAGTGGAGAAACAGCATTGCCCATTCCAGGATGAGGATGGTCACCTCACAAACAGGGACACAGACAAGGCAGAGGTGTTTAACACTTTCTTTGCCTCTGTCTTCAATGCCCACGACAGGCAAAAGGAGTCCCAATGTTGTGAGTTGGGAGACCATGCCTGTGAGACAGAAAAACTCCCAGTTGACCCTGAACTTGTGTGGGACCTGCTGCTCCAGCTGCTTCCCTATAAGTCTATGGGGTTTGACAGGATTAATCTGAGAATTCTTTAGGAGTGGCTGATGTCATCGTGAGGCCTCTCTCGATGCTTATTGAACAAGCTTGGGAATCTGAGAGGTCCCAGCTGACTGGAAGCTATCAAATATTGTCCCAGTCTTCAAAAAGGGCAAGAAGCATGACTCTTGGAACTACAGGCCTGTCAGCCTCCCTTCAGCGCTTGGTAAAGTGATTTCACTCAAGCTGTCCCTGCTGCCTTTCCCAGGATCCTTCTGGACAAACTGTCCAGCCCACAGCTGGATAAACATATCATGGCCTGGGTGAGCAATTGGCTCAGAGGTCGAGCACAGAGGGTGACAGTGACTGGGGTGACATCAGTGTGATGGTTTTGGTCTAGGCCTTCCTGGTGACCAGTTCGTAACCAAGGTAGTGGCCATGTACCCAGTATTCCATATGATTTTTACATAAACCAGAATATAACTAAGTTGGAGAAGCCCAGGCACCAAGACAGACTGGGCAGAGAATGGATGGAGAGCAGCCCTGGAGAGAAGAATTCCGGAGTGCTGGTGGGTGAGAGGCTGACCCAGGCCAGAAACCCTCTGTGTGCCCCACAGCTTGGGCAGCAGGGAAGGGGGGATTCTGCCCCTCTGCCCCCCTCAGGTGAGACCCCACCTGCAGAGCCACCTCCACCTCTGGGGAACAACAGCACAAGGATGGTGGGGCTGCTGGACCAATTCCAGAGGAGGCCACGGAGATACTCTGAGGGCTGGAGCCCCTCTGCTCTGGAGCCAGGCTGGGAGACCTGGGGGTATTCACCTGGAGAAGGGAAGGCTCCAGGGATATCTGAGAGCTCCTTCCAGTGCCTCAAGGGGCTCCAGGAGAGCTGAGGAGGGAGGAATGGCCCTGGGGTTGGATCCCACCAGACTCTGAGCCCCCCCACCAGCTCCTGCACTCCTGCCAGTGGCACGGGACAGAGAAGGGAAAAAGCAGAGCTAAGAAAAACAGCTGGGGTGAGGTCAGGGGAGTTCAGGAACCAGAGGAAAACTGGGAGTGCTGGCAGAGCAAAGGAGGCACTTTAGTCACTGATTCCTCTCGGGGGCAGATGGGCAGCTGCTCCCTGGGCAGCAGAGCCTCGGGGTGCAGGGCGGCTGCTCAGGAAGGCAACTGCTGGATCTGGGTTACTTGTCCCAGCTCTGTCCCCTCCCAGCTGCACTCCCCTTGCAGCGCTGCCAGCACTGGCTCAGTCCCAGGTGCCGGAGGCTGCGCTGCTGAACATGAACTGCAGCCCACCAGACCCTGAACCAGACCCCAGGCACTCTTTGCAGGCCCAGCACAGCTTCCTATTGCTTCAGGATCAGGGCAAAAGCCACATGCAACTGTGTCAGGGGGCTGCAGCAGGGATCAGAGCGCTCTGGGGGTGAAGTTTCGACTGTAAGAGAGGTGAATCCCACCCTCCCTCCAAGCGAAGGAAAAGGACAAAGTGTCCCCTTAGGTTAAGGTCCCCATTCCCCCCCGGAGCTGCCCTGCTCCCTAAGGAGCAGCGCGGGGCACAGGCAGCACCCCCAGCCCCAGGACGGCCCCAGCACCCCCGTTCTTGCCTTCAGGGGAGCCAAGCCCCCCGGACCCCGCCTGGGGTTGGGGGTGCCCGGGAAGGGCAGGATCGGCCCCGCCCGCGGGGAGCCTTTCCAGCCGGGCAGGGGCTGCAAAGGAAGGGACTCCGCAAGGGATGTATCCCCAGCCAGCCCCGCTGCCGGCTCTGGGCCGGCCTTGGCACCTCTGCACACACCGCTCTGCCCCTGCAGCCCCCCGGATCCTCCTCCTTCCCCCGCTCCCGCCCCCCACCGCCTCTTTCCCGCAGCACACACGGGTCCCCCGAGCCCCCCCAAAGCGCCTGCGAGCACAGGCGGCCTCTTCCAGCCCCGCTCGGAGCACCGAACACCCGCTCGCTGCCCTCAGACCCCTCTTCGTTTTCCCTGCCATCTCCGCAGCCATGGGTAAACCCGCGGAATGGGAAGCACAAGCCAAACAAGTTCCCGCTCTGTGCTGATCCCTCCTCCCAGCCCCGCAGCTCAGCCCCAAGGTCCTACCGTCTCCCTCCGTGCCCGAAGCTCCCGGGCTGGGAGAAGCCCAGCGCAGCTCCCCTCCTTATCCAGCCCCGGCTCTCCCGGGGATGCTGCTTCCCCTTTGAAAAGGGCCGTGGGGCGGTGACTGTTGAATTCCTGTAAATCAGGCGTTTAATTACAAGGAAATGTGAAAGTGAAAGTGGGAAACTGCTGCCTGGTTTGGGGTTACAAGGTAATCAAGGAGAGGGGGACTCGATGATCTGGGAGGTCTTTTCCAATGATTTTAATGATTCTACGATTCCATGAAAAGCACGAGGAGCTGGGCAGTGCCTGGGCCTCCTGGCTGGAAACCCCCCAGTCTATGCCTCTCTCTCTAGATCATCCTATCCCAGAACTGGGCAACCTGTGCCAGAGCCTGACCGCCCTCAAAGCCAAGAATTCCTTCCCAAAATCCCATCTATGCCTGGCTTTGGGGAGTGGGAAGCCATTGCCCCTTATCCTGTTCCTCCAGACCTTTGTCCCAGGTCCCTGTCCAGCTCTCCTGGAGCCCCTTGAGGCACTGGAAGGGACTCTCAGGTCTCCCTGGAGCCTTCTCTTCTCCAGGTGAACACTCTCCTAACCTGGCCTCAGAGCAGAGGGGCTCCAGCTCTGAGCCATCGAAGGTTTGTTGGTAACAACAGACAAGGGTTGTGGCTAACACAGCCCTGTGAGAAAGAACAGGATATGGCTGGAGAAGGGGCCATACAGAGGTAGGGCAAGACTTTTCTGGGACCAACATCCCTGTTGTAGTTCCTGGAGATCAGCACAACCCAGCACAGTGCAAGTGCAGGAAGGAGGCCGAGAAGTGGGTGGGGACTGTAGAGGGGAAATCAAGACCACCCAAGACCCTCAAAGCCTCTGACTCATTTCCAGAAAGGTCTGAAAGAATGGACTGAGGATGAGAACTAATTTCCATAGAGAGCGAGAAACTGATCACCAGGTTGGAGAAATCCTGCCTGAGAAAAAGTACCCCCCAAGCCCAGGGGGTACCCCCAGGACCCTGGACATCCCATCAGCTGGATCGATGCTGGAATCAGGACTGGTGATTACTTTCTTTCTTTCTCTTTCTTTCTGTTTCTTTCTTTCTTTCTTTCCCTCTCTCTTTTGTTTCTGTCTTTCTTCTTCTCATTCTTCCTCTTTAATTCATCTCTCTTTCTCTCTTCCTTTTCATGTTGCTCCTTTACCCACGCCCCACTGCCAGGTGCCTGTATAGTATATCAGGGACTGACACACCCATTTCCATGACAAGTCTGTTGGTTACTGATAACAGTTCGAAGGTTTTTGCAGACCCTTTGACTTTTGTCCCTCCTTTGGACCAGAAGCATTTCCCTTTCCCTTAACAG